GTATTCCATAGGCTACGTCAATATTGCATATATTCATATCTTTGCGTCCACATAAAAAGCCTGATCGGCTATGCTCTAAGGAACACCAGGTTCCCTGCACGCCTGTACAGACACTTGTCAAAAAGGCATTGGGTCTGAAATGAGCTAATGCCCGTTACCTTTGATGCTTGAAGCGCTTATGCGACGCCATGCCTAACGGTTGCTTGCACTGAGCCGGTTCTTCATGAGGCGAACCATAGGCGGTGTGCACAGTGGAATGAGATCCACGAAGTGCTCATAGGAGGAGAACGCCAACTGCTGCAACAGCAAAGCCAAGGGAGATAGGTAGTGCATGCGCAGCGTTTTTGTTGAGTCCAGCGGTGATCTGATCCCACTGGGCTTGCCTGAGACACACACGCAGCTCCCGACAGCCAGCATCTATTGGGAGCAAAGGCCCTCTAAAAATGCATTTCATCTCCCACTTTGCGTGAACCCCTAAGAGCGAGGTGAGGTTCACACATAAATTCAACTTACGTGTATGGGGCGGCGCCTTGTGTGAGGGCATTGGGGGTGGTAATGCAAAGAAGCGCCTTCACTTCTTTGTCTGTTGTGGTTTCACTCCCTTCTCCCGTCTCTGGCTCTTCCTCGTCATCCCCATCGCCCTCGTCGGCATTGGGGTCTTTCTCACCATTGTCCCCCGTGCCCCCAACAACATCGGTGCTTTGCTGTTTGGGCTTGTTTTCCTTTGCTGGGCAGGTGAAGTATGCGCAGTCCACTTTCGGGTTTTCCTTAGGGTTGAAGAGGGAAATGAAAGAAACATTTTGGGGGTCTTTGTACAGCTCTGTGTCTTCTGTGTACTGCGGAGGTAGGCTCTTGAAGTTGGACAGGGCAGCCTTCCAGTGGTCCACTGCGGCTTCGCAGTCAGCATCGGTTCCTTCTTGAACAGCGTAAGCGTAGGTGCCATCAAGCGCGCCTGACTTTGCAGGAGAGGCTTCGCCCTGCTCGTTTTGTGGACATAGCAAATGGGAGATAGGCTGGGAAATAAATACGGTGCATTTAACCGCCTATGCATATTTGTGTTTGTGTTTCTGCGCGTAAGCTATGGCGTCGAAACCCATACAAGGGAGCTGGCTGTTGAGGAATTCAGTGTCACGTCTTACAGCTTTCAACGCCGAGCAGACTGACTCGATGTATGTCGTCCCGGTTGCCCCCGCTGTTTTGGAAACCGGGTCTATTGGGAGCTTTTCCTCTGCAGTCTGTCCCTCTGTGAATTCGGCGAAGCCGACAAGTTTGCGGGCCTCGTTCATTGACGCCGAGCAGTCCACCCGCTTTGCCGTGTCTGCACACACACTCGTTTCAAACATGTGCGATTTCAACTTGTTTTCTTCTTGTTGTCTGCATACTATAGATTCATAAACAAGGTTTCAGAGGGCTCACAGGTGTCGGCAGCACTTCCAGCTGCGTTTGCTCCGTTGGTGTCCAGCAAGAAAATGGTGGCGGTGGCCAAAGACAGGAACTTGAGACCAACCATTCTCGAGGCCTGGAGGCGTAGTTGTGAGCATGAGACGCCTAAAGTACTCTAAAACGTATTTAAAATTCCTTTTAAGGAACGGGAAACACCCGAAATATATCATCGGCGGCGCTAGCGTCGGTGGTGGTGCTGTAATGCACAGTGGCCGTATACTGTGCCTACGATACCCACTCGAACTCTATGTCAGTAGATCTCCACAG